GGCACACGCATTGTGAGGCCGACACATCACACAGTGACCACGGACAAATGAGAAAGCAGTATTGTCGTCACACAACTGCCGCGAGCCAATGAGAATACGGCAAACACTTGTGCCTCGCGGTTGGCCTGGATGAGCCTAACTGCACAGGTCCCAGGCCCGTAACAGCAAAGGAGGGCCTGGGCGCAGACACTGGGGCCCAACTGGAAGCTACTGGAAACTTCCTCAACAAGGCCCACACAGCCAAAGGAAGGCTGCACATTCCATAAAGGAAAGTGCCATGGCCTGAGGAAGGCATTCGTGCCTTAGCAGGCAATGTGGACACGCTGCTGCGCTAATGTCTGCGTTAGTTGGCTGGCCGAGCGTGCGCACGGGTGCTGCAAGGGCAGCGGGGCGCACAGCAGCCATAGCTGGGCTGCAGGGGCACAAAGGTAGGTGATGGCAAAGGTGGTCTTCGGGTAGGAGGGGCATGAGGTGGGGGTCCAAGGGGTGATGAGGGGAGGAGAGACAACGTACCTTGTGTTTGCTGGCGGTCAGCATTGGTGTTGACGTCACGTGCATTGGTCTTCGACTTCAGAGTGACTCAGTTGCAAGAACGTAGATAGGCTAGATATGCTGAGTACGATAGGCAGGGGCGTAAGGCACCAGACAGTGAAGAGCGACATTGGATACAGTGTTGGTGTGACCAGAGAGTGGCGACATTGACATTCGAGTTCATTGTATAGCTCTTACTTGTATTGTATCTTGGTGCAATGAGCTCTCTGCTTGGTTCATGACTATCTGGGCTACTTCATGATTTTGCAATTCGGTTTTCTGTCTATCGCTCTGCTCATATTCCTTGCACCTCTCTCTATCTCTCTGCAAGCATGGCTGGAAAGCACTGTATATTTCCATATTATAGTGGAAGATTCATTCCGATTTTGCTCATCCTATTGATGGAAGCAGCCTCTCTCTATCTCTCTGCGTGCATGGCTGGAAAACTCTCTCTCTCTCTCTCTCTCTCTCTCTCTCTCTCTCTCTCTCTCTCTCTCTCTCTCT